CCAAGGACAGGAAACAGAGGAGGGGGGGAGGGAAGAGGGGGGAAGGGTGAGCACAAAGGCCACTCAGGACAGGGAGGGCTTGGGGCCAGACAGCAGTGTTCCGGGACTCAGCCATGAAAGCAGGGTCAACTTCCCACCGTTGAGGCAAGGTCACGGCCCAGGCTTCACGGAGTACAAGAGGCAGACAGGATCTCCAAGACAGAACACGGGAGTTTCTTCTCAAATGCTTTACTGACTCCTTCCAGATACCTGCAAAGCCGCACTCAAGTCTAGTTTCTTTCTTTTCTTTTCTTTTCTTTTTTTTTTTTTGTTTAAGGAGGGAGGAAAAGAATCTTCAGTGACTTCAGAACCATGTCTTTGTTTTCCCACCATCACTCCACCTCCCCTCCCCGAAAATTCCATGGTACAGCTAGCTACTGAGACGCGCCACTAAAGAGCAACCACCATCAGGCACGGGGAGCACGGCAATTGCCGGGGGAGGGCCTCGTCCATCCTTGAATGTCCTTCCCCGGAATCAGGGGGCCCGCCAGCTCTTCAGCTCTGCTCTGGTTTTTATTTTGCGAATCATGAATATGTTGGCTACTAAAGACCTGTGCAATCGTGAGAAACCGAGCAAGTGCTCCTCACTTCCCCAAAAAGAAATGGAAATGACAGAGTAGCATTCAGGAAAGCTAAAAGTGGAATCAGCATTGTGGAACTGCAGGCTGAGCTGCGCACCAGCGACACCAGCAACCTACAGCAGAGCACTGGTTCGAGTCCCGGCTGCTGCACTTTCCAATCCAACTGTCTGCTCATGAACCTGGGAAAGCAATGGAAAACAGCCCGACGACTTAGGCCCTCGCCACTCATGTGGCAGACTCAACAGAGTTCTCGGCTCCTGGCTTCAGCCTGGCTATTAGTGCCATCTGGGAAATGAGCCAGCAGAAAAAGACGTCTGTGTCTCTCTCTCTGTTTGCCTGTTCCCTTTTGTCACTCTGCCTTGCAAATACTCATTTTTAGAAGGTAAAAGAATGAAAAGAACTGTGACTGAAGGGGTTCATTTGATATTTCAGTCTCTTTAGAGTTTTAAACATGACAGCTTTGAAATGTCACATTTTTTAAGTGGCCCCTATTTCCTGAAGTCACCAGGAATAATCAAAGGTGCTATACATTAGGGCTGTGACTTCCTGTACATGAGAAAATTCTTAGGAGGAAGAGAGATCTTACGCAAACAACATTTGGGAAATGATCCTTTCAGATGTTCCGGGAATGGAAGGAAAAAAAAAATGCAACAAAGGACACCAGCTGGGAGTCCCTGTTGCTGACCCAAGAGGCAAAGATGGAATGGAATGTTCAGGGGCAGTAGCACAGGCGGGATCAACAAACTATCCCTACGGCAAAAGCCTGGACCGACGTCACGCCTGGAATGATTAACCTGTCCTGTAACAGCCTTTACCGGGGAGGTCTGCAAAAACATATAAAGCACTGGCGTGAGAATGGAGAGATAAGAACTCGTCCCAGCATACCTAACTACATTTGGAATTTGGTGATGTCACACATCTGCAAAACGAACTGGAGAGTCAACTAGTCCAGCTGCATTGATTCATCGATCAATCTAGCAATATTTGTTGAACTGCAAACAGGAAGCATTACCCTGGGTGCTTGGGGAAACAACACTAGATGCAAAGACCAAGTAACATTCCCTAGGGCAGCATACAGAATCTGAAATTCATTACAAATCAGAGGGGGTTTTTTTAAACACCTTATTTGAAAGGCAAAGTGACAGAAAGAAAGAGATCGTCTATCAGCTGGTTCGCTCCCCAAATGGCCGCCAACTTCTGGGCTGGGCCAGTCAAAGCCACGAGCTCCATCTGGGAATCTCATGTGGGTATTATGGACCCAAGAACTAGGTATATGTGCAGGGAGCTGGACCAGAAGCACAACAACCACTTAGTAGAACCAGATCAGCATTTTTAAAAGAAATGGTGCAGAATAAAATATCAGCACATCGAACATAGCAAGGACAAGCTCTATTTCACAGAAGTGTTTCAGTTAGTGATAGACACTGCATTTATGAGGACTGTGATCAAGAGGAATAAGGGCTCCCCGAATGTGGAATGGTGATGCTAACGGTGTTTAGAATTCTCCGCTCAGTCCTTGGGTAAAGATGGGCTTTTACTCTGATCATGGTCCTCCCGCCACCCTTCACTCTGACTGCCTTTCAGGAACTTCCTGCTCATAGTAGATACAAGCTCATTACTTTACTTGTCCCGGGATGGCATTTCAGGTATGTATGGAAGACTGCGCTCTTTTTGGATCAGTGGCCTCTGCCTGATCAGGCTGCCCTTCTACATTAACGCTTTGTGCCTGTGCAACTCGTCTGCCAATGAAGAAAATCCCTAGTGGTCAAAAGTGGTCATGTGAACTTTTAAACAGCTCGTGAGGCACTGGTCCTCTCCATGGAAACCCTGAGGGAACCAACATACATGAAGACACACCGTTCCTTTCACCTACGCACCAGGCTTGATGCCCAGCTGGCTTGCAGGCTTCTAGTGTCCTGAAGGGTGCCAGTTACAGGGATTGGTTCCAGGTCTCCACTGCCATGCTATTTCTGAATAACTGAGTCTGCCCCATAACACTGCGGACTGAGAGTGGCTTCTGCTCGCTCTAGTGCAAGTTCCCCTTCCCCTGGCAAGATGCAAATACGATCCTGAGCTCTCGTGGGTCCACGAGCCTGGTTTTAGGCACTGCTGCTCACTGCCTTTGTTCTCTTCATCACTCAGGGGCCCTAAGAATTATAGAAGTTAATTTTTCAAAACCGCTCTAGAGGCCTGCCCAACCTAACAACTGCCTTTGCTCTCACGGCAAAACATCCACAAGGGGTTATGGCGGCAACTGGGCAAGGAAAGGAGATGCAACCCAGAGGAAGAAGCAACCCACCAACATCCCATACGGGAGCACCAGTTTGACTCCCAGCTACTCCACTTCTGATCCAGCTCCCTGCCAAGGCACCTGGGAGGCAGTGGAAGATGACCCTAGTGCTTGAGCCCCTGCACCCACATAGGACACCTGGCCACTTGGCAGAATGAACCAGAAGGTGCATCGACCTATCAAGATTGATCGACCTCTCAATGTCTCTCTGCCTTTCAAGAAAAACTAATTACGTAAATCTTAAACTTCCTTTAAGGGGGACTTAAAAAAAAAAAAACAAGACCCAAACTCTTTCTGGCCACCTCATGTGTCATATTCAGCCTGCCAAAGTCTCCTGGAAGTCACATGAGGGTAGCCCCTCCTCACACTAGGAGTGCCACGCCGATGCCAAGGCTGGAAGCAGACATCGTCCTTCTATGAACTGGGTGAAGCTGTCCACATATCTGTGGGGTGCAAGGTGGTACTCAGATGAGGGAGACTCTGCAAAGGAGAACTCCTCCAACACCTCAGGCTGCGTCTCCCCATCCCCAGCTTCTAGCGATCAGCTGACAGGCTACATAGCCTGTCGCTATTACAGCCTGCGCTTCTGTTTTCCCGGAGACCTACACTGCAGCCCCCAGAGGCCACCACTGCAAGCAGGAGCCAGCGGGTTGCTACTGCAGCACACACTCCCTGCTGTCACAGAACGTGCTCAGCGAAAAGACCTGAAACCCAGGTTTCCTGCTCCATTCCCTCCTCCCCCTCGAATGACCTCATTGTTAAGCTGAGAAAGAACAAATTGTGACCGGTTCTTTATACATGAAGAACAAAGTAACTTCTGGGGGAACTGGTTGCTTGCCTGGCAAGTTACAAAGGAGGTCAAGCAGCCCAGAGTGGCTGTGAAAGAGGGCTATGGCCTAGCTGACAACTAAGAATGGTGTGGCCCCAGGCTGATCAACCACCAAGAGCCTTGCCCCTTACTGATCTTCCAATAATCTTAAATGGCATACAACTACAAAAGAATAGCAATCTTGTGCTTTTTCAAGTGTGTCGTTTCAGTAATTCTGTCAGCTGCTCTCAAAATTCTGTAACAAAATCCAGGATTTCAGGGCTGGCACAGTGGCTACTTCTCCGCTGGCCAGAGCCAGGGTCCCATGTGTATACCGGTTCTAGTCCTGGTTGCTCCACTTCCCATTCAGCTCCCTGTTTGAGGCCTGGGAAAGCAATCAAGGACCACCCAAAGTCTCGGAAAACTGCACCTACGTGGGAGACCCAGAAGAAGCTCCTGGCTCCTCACTTTGAATCAGTTCAGCTCTGGCTGTTGCAGCCATCTTAGGGGGGTGAACCAGCAGAGGGAAGATCTCTCCTCTGTCTCTCCTTCTCTCTGTAAATCTTCCTTTCAAATAATAAAACCAAAATCAGGATGTCAACTAGCAGAATCCTGCATGTGGTCAGTGCTTCTGACACTCACACCAGGCAGGGCCCCACAGGCCGCTGGAAACCAAGGCGTTCCAACCCTTGTTAGTGATCATCCTCAGGAACCTGAAGCCGTCACGCAAACTCTAACGATCATGTGAGCACTAGTAACTTTAAAACCTAACTTCCCAGTACACATGTACACTGAATACCGCACTGTCCCTCTCCATGCTTTGAAATCAGAGCAGGTCCGTTAACCAGTCCCAGCATAGCAACACCATGAAAAGTCTTAAGGCCCAGCACGGTAGCCTATTGGCTAAATCCTCACCTCACGTTGCACGCACCGGATCCCATACAGGCGCTGGTTCATGTACTGGCGGTCCCACTTCCCATCTGGGGAAAGCAGGTGAGGATAGCCCAAAGCCCTGGGATCCTGCACCCATGTGGGAGACCCAGAAGAAGCCCCTGACTTCAGCTCAGCTCAGCTGAGGCCACTGGGGCCACTTGGGGAGTGAACCAGCAGACAGAGGATCCTCCTCTCTGTCTCTCCTTCTCTCCATAAATACTATGCCTTTCCAATAAAAATAAATAAATAAATCTTTTAAAAAAATAAAAGACTTTTAAAGCCAGTCAAATCGTTAGTGACATTGCAGTTTTTCTCCCAGCCAACTTCCCTTTACAGAATGAGCAGTTACCGAGTTCCTGGAGGGTTGGTGATCCGGGTGGAGACGCATTCCCACTAGGAGACAGGTACAGATAGCTTTTGTTCACACCTGAGTCAAAATCAAATGGGGACTTGTAGTCCTCGTACAAATCCATCTCCCTACGATCCATTGCAGGCAGACGCAGAAGGCATGGCTCCGTGTCGGCCTGCCGTCCTCAGCCGAAGGCTGCTCTGGCCACGTTCCCTCCGCTCCACGCAAGCTCCACGAGGAACTCAGCCCCAACTTCAGAAACCTCGGCTTGCTTCCGGGCCCAGCTGCCAGAGTATCCTGGTGCCAGCTTCACGCCCTCATGACAAGCAGGCCTATTTAATAAATGACTTATCCCCAGCAGCCTTGGGAGGGGCTCTCCTCACCACCTGTTGTGAATTTGACCCAACAATGGCCAACCTGGGCTGGGCCTTCCTCGGTAAACAAAGGAGGGCCGGGCACTGGCAATGCAGCCCAGCTCACAGCTCAAGCAGACACTGAACACTGGCACAAGTCAGCTGACCACAACCGCACCAGGGCAGAGTTAATCTTCTGGGACAAGAAAGGATTATCAGTGGGTAATCGCCACCCCCCACCTCTCAGTGCCATCTGGGTGATACATTGTGCCTCCCTGGATGATGTAAGGATTCTGAATACAGGCTTCCTGGTTTAGCAATCAGCTTTGCCAGCACAACCTGCTGGCAGACATCAAGCTCAGTTTCCATTCAGATTTTATCTGGAGTGGAATCTGCATTCAGAGTTTTATTCTTTTTAGGAAAGAGTGTTCCAGGTAGCTGCAAGGAGGAGACTCTACAAAGGAGGCAGTACTCGCAGGTGCTCCTGTCCCTTCTTTGTTTGGCTAAAGGCTGCCATTAACCTGGCCCACGGGCCTGCCACAGTTGGCCTGTAAAACACAGCAACTGAGTCACCCAATTCTCTTCCTTTCACAAAGCCTCTTGGCAGAGGCCTTAGAGGCCAACCGTGGCCCCTGCCCAAGTGGCACCACTAACGGCTCCTGCTGCTTCCAAGAGCAAGTGAGTGGGGCAGGTGTGCGGTGTAGCATAGCTTGGAAAGCACACAACCCCATTGGTGCCTGGGTTCAGGTCGTGGCTCTGCTCCAAGTCACACAGCCACATCAGTGCCTGGGATCCAGTCCAACTTGTGCCTACCGTACACTGTGGGCAGCAGCAGGTGGCATCTCAGGTACTTGGGTCTCCACAATCTACATGGGAGACCTGGAATGAGTTCTGGACTTTAGATACTGCAGGGTCCAGCACTGCAGCTGGCGGCATCTGGCGAGTAAATCAGCACATGGGAGACACTCTCCTCCTTTCTCCGTTTAAACTAAATGCATCATTTTTGTGAACGACTTCTTTACTCATTCACTCATTTGCAAGGCAAAGCTGCAGAGACAGATCTTCCACCCACCGATTCATTCTCCAAATGGCTGCAAGGGCCAGGGATGGGCCAGGCTGAAACCAGGATCCAGGAGCTTCAACCAGGTCTCTTACATGAGTTCAGGGGTCTAAGGATTTCAACCATCTTCCATTTCTTTCCCAAGCATATCAGCAGGGAGCTGGATGGAAAGTGCAGCAGCCAGGTCTTACATAAGCCAGTGCCCAAAGGGGACGATGATATCCCGAGCTGTGGCTTAACTCACTGCACCACCATGGTGGCCCCAAGCAATAATTTCTAAAAAGATTAAGAAAGAAGAAATGAAGGCAGCTACCACCACCCCCTGAAATGGGCACTGCTCTGTTACTGCACAATTACAAACAGCACTGTTCTGACTTTTAAATCTACCCCGTTACGAAGAGAACTTACTATGCTCTCTTTGGGGAAGTAAATATGAAACCCGATACATTTGAAGCATTAAAAAAATCGATGTGTCCAATGTATAAAATACATTCTTATATAACACCAAAGATAGTTTTATATTCATCTCAACTAATGAGCAACTCACAATTTTTCTGGGTTTGTCTCATGTCATTCTCTATATGTAGCCAGTCCTGAAGTTTTTTTTTTTTAAGTTTATTTTTAACAAGAAAGAAATGTTATTTTTCACCTAACAAGCACCAAAATTTGGGCAACTACACATGTTATTCATTCTATACTTAGAAATAAGTGGTTCCTTTTTAAAAATTTTTTTATTATTTGAAAGAATGAGCCGTCTGGCTTCTTGAGCTCTCCTTCTGGGCAGAGTCAGGCGTCATAGCCATCTCCCTGGTTACAGGGTGCGTCGGGGGCCCTGGCCCTCTCCACACCAGACACAGGCAGGAAAAGCATGGCTTGACAGGCCTCCTGAAGCTGTAGGCCTAGCAAGGTCCCAGATTGTGACGCAGATACAACGCAAGCCCCCGCTGCCACCTCCTGGCTGCTCACCACCTCTCAGCCTGCGTCCTTCACCTTCTGTGTTGACGTCACATCACACCATCTCCTGCCTGAAATGAAACCTTTTTGCAGCTTGTCACAGTCATCCACCCTTCAGGACCCAGGCAGCAGTGACCTTTTCTCAGACACCCTCCCAGTTTCTGCTCCCCTTCTTTCCCCAGAGGCAGCACACGGAGTGGGCTGTGCCCTTTGCCCACCCCCAGAGCTGCTGCAGCAGCCCCTCCGGGGCAGGGACGCACCGCAAGGCTGTGCCTGTCCTGTAGATCTGGCTCCAAATCAATGTGGAATGGAAACAATAACAACAACAAATAATGGCTCAGTAAAATGCAGGTTTTTATTAGTAAATGTGAGGCCTGAGAACTTAAGTAACCATCCAAACTTTTTAATTCTCCCTGCTTAGGTAAACTTTGGATGGTTATGTAACAGTCTAGCTCTCTAGTTTTTGTTCTTGGTATGGCCGTGAAAAAAGTTAAAACAGAGGGCAAGCATGGGATGACTCAACGGAAGGGCAGAAAGCCAGTGGACTCAAGATTCACACACAAGGTAGAAAGAAAGGAGTTGAAAGAAACAGAAAATATCAATGTAGCCTGTGAACAGACCATCATGACTGTGAAGGACAAAAGTTTCTACTTAACGAACTGACAGGGATGAGGGTAGACTGCAGGGTTTTGAGCCCGTATCAAAATGGATTTATAAAAATGACCTTACTGGATGGCTCAACTGCATAATCCTCCACCTCCAAGTGCCAGTATCCCATGCAGGCACCAGTTCAGGTCCCATCTGCTCCACTTCCATCTACTTGCTTGTGGCCTGGAAAGCAGTAGAGGATGGTGCAAGTCCTTGGGACCCTGCAACTGCATGGGAGACCCAGAAGAAGCTCCTGGCTCCTGCCTTTGGATTGGCTCAGCTCCAGACATTGTAGCCACTTGGGGTGTGAACCAGCAAATGGAAGATCTTTCTCTCTCTCCTTCTCTTTATAAATCTGCCTTTCTAATGAAAATAAAAAGAAACCTTTATATTTTATAAATTACCTTAGAAATGGTATGCAGAATACACTATAGCTAAAGGAGGGCGGACTCAGAGGGGCTGGGGGCCACCCAGACTGGCAGCAGAGCAGCCTGTGCACCTGTACAGTCCTCCACACATCCTCCTTGGACCACTGGCCCATGGAAGAACCAAATAAGACTTAGTCCTGCCCTGCTGGACACTTACACAAAGCTATTGCAAAAGGACTTCAAAATTGATGCACACACAACTGAATTCACCAACTCTGCTTACAATGCTGTCCTCCCCTTCCTCTGAAGCCACCGTCCTGAGTCTCCTGGGTCTGAGCTCCAAGGAATCCTATCCAAGCCTTCCGCTCCAGTAAGAGGCGCTGCTCAGCACCATCCAGCAAGCCTGTGCCTTGGGCCTCCCACTTTCTCCTCTCCTTCACTGTCCTGGGCCACACCCTCCTCAGATCTACCAGGTCATTCTGCCCCAGGCCCTGTCCAACAACAGCGCAGTGCATACCTGCCAGCCTGGGATTTAACACTCGCTCTCCCGTGAGGAATTCCTCCTTGCCTGGCTCCATGGAATTGGGGGGTGAGGAGGTGAGATGACCACAGTTCCCATCTATTCTCTGGCCTGAAGCGGAGCCCACATATACCCCATTCCCTCTCTTAGGGACGGGCCTATTGGTAGCCATCTGGCCCCAATATAGCCAGTCTTGGCCTTCTCTGATGCCCAGAGAACACATTCGGTTAGACAGTGACCTGCTGGACACTGGTCCAGAGGAGCTGGCGACAGAGGGGAGCAGGTATGGGGTGGAGCAGCAGCTGCCCTGAGCCTCCCGGGGTAGACATTCATCCTTCCAGACCCGGGCAGAAACGACGTCTCTCATTTCTGTTCTGCTTCACGGCTGTTAGAGCTGGACTGCAATAAATACAGTCCCCGTACACCTAATTTCCAACCCTGTTTGCCACTATCCCCCAGCCATGCTTAAGACAAGCCCAATTTTCCTTCTTCTTGAACAGATTCTGTACTTGGCTTAGACTGCCTTCTCAGTCTCCTTTCCCTACGTTTCTACCTGTCAGTTCCTACCCGCTTACCAAGCTCTACTTATTAAATCACATGTGAATGAGGCATGTACTGGGACGTTCATCTTATATGCTACCTGAAATGGGAAATATTAGAAACCCTTATATCTACTAAAAATGGATTATGTAAACACTAAGATTGCTTATGCGACAGGAAAACACACAAATATTAACCTGATGCAGAAACACATGTATAAAACAGAAGCAACTTTTTAAAAAGATTTACTTATTTATTTTAAAGGCAGACTTATAGAGAAGACAAAGAGAGACAGGGAGAGAGCTCTCCCAACAGCTGGTTCACTCCCCTAACGGCTCTAATGGCTAGGCCAAAGGCAGGAGCCAGGAACTTCTTCTGGGTCTCCCATGCGGGTGGCACGGGCCCAAGCCACCCCCAGCTGCTTTCCCAGGTCCGTTATCAGGGAACTGGATGGGAAGTAAAGTGAAGGAGCTAGGACTCAATTGACACCCACATGGAAATCTGCACCACAGATGGCAGATTAACCTGCTGCAATGCAGAGCCAGCCACACGAAAACCATTCTTGATAACTTTAGTAAACATGGCAGTTTTGAGAGCAGGCTATGTTGGGCGATCCACAAGTGTGTAATAACTAAAGAGAGAGATGCCAGTGAACCCTGTCATACAACCCCAGAAGTGTTCACGCACCACAGGGCCAGCAGAGGGCGCCCATGGCCAGCTCTGGCGGCAAGTCAGTGCAGGGACAGAAGGGCATTAGACCCCTCTGTGCCAATGGAAATGCGAGCAGGTAGAGATGACTACAAAAAGAATTAAGTGCCTGCCTATTAACATATCATTCAAATATGTCAGCGTAGATTCTCCCTGAAATTGAGAAAAAAAAAAAGGTAAGAATTTGAATGTTTTTACCCTAAAGAAATGTGAAATGTAGGAGCTGATTGGACACAATTGACACGCACATACATGTACTATC